GTTCAGGATTCTTTTTCTGAGTCCAACAACCAGGTAAATGATGGAGTTGTTAACAGGGCACACAGTTCCACGGATTTGGCGAATGAACTAGATTCCCCATCAAGGTACGTTGAGCGCTTTCATATGGTCTACCTGGTTGCTGTAACTAACTGCTTCACTGCTCACTATTTTTCACTTCACAGGGATGAACAACATCATCTTTCAGGCAGTTCCAGTCTTCCTGTCATTAGTCAAAATGGCGTTTCACCTTCATCTGTAACCGTTCAGCGGCACGCAGAACCAGATGTAGATACTGTGGCTTCTTCTTCAACCAATACATTTGACTGGAAGCCTAAAGACTTAAATGCACCTAAATGTAGTTAACGTCCTTCCTTGCTTTCATATTTGGTTGATTTTGGTGATGTGTCAGATTCTCATTTTCTAGTCTGACTGTTTAAGGATGTGAATGCTAATGTTTTCAGTAAATTCAACCACGGAAATTTTTGTTCGGGTCATGCCAAAGTGTTTGTAGATAGTATTAAAGATGCAAACGCTTGGGTTTCTCCTGATTAATTCTTGCTATTTCTAGGTGTATGTCATCTTTTAGCTTGTTTTGTATTCTCAGAAAGAACCTAAACTCACGTTGTTAGAAAATTAAATGGTAATCATCTCTAATGGTTTACTGTATTGCCTATATGGCCTATCGGAATGGGGTTGCCTAGCTATAATTTTGTGCCTCTTGATGGTACACTAGCTCTCATTTTGTCCCACAAAGCTTGCACTCAGTATGGAGACTATATATCCTGCTGAACTGGTTATTTCGTTTATGCATACATGATCTCTCATCTATTTTTTGGACATTGTGAACTCTTTTCTTGTTATCATCCGAATTCACCATTTAATTTTTGTGTTCCTTGCATGCAGTATCATCTGATTTTACAAAGGTAGCAGAGGCAAAGTTTTCGGTAATGTCACTTTCTTTGTCTTATGGGTATAGGAACTTATGGAACCTTTCCCATTCAAATTTATTAGGATATAAGCATTAACTAAATGCAGAAGTTTCCTATGTACCTAAATAGAGTTTACTTTATGTTTGCAGATTCCAGTAGAAGAGTTCTTTAGATTGTTTTTCTCAGATGGTGCTGTCAGTTTTGTTGAGTCTTTCCATAAAAATTGTGGAGACAAAGGTAGAGCTATATGTGGTGGAATAATTATGCTGCTGTTGTTAGTTGTTATTTGTATGTTTTCCCTATGTTGGTGTTCTTTTAATCAGTAGAGATTTTCGTACTTGCAGAGTTTAGGTGTACCTCTTGGCAACCTCATGAAAAACTTGGACACACCCGCAATGTATCATTTCAACATCCAATAAAAATTTATTTTGGTAATATTTTTGTTTCCTATAGATAGATTTAAGTTACTTTTTTTTCATATATCAAATATTTGTATGCATGACTGTTGGATTGCGTTCAAAAAGGTGCAAAGTTCGGCAGCTGCCAGGAGTCACAGAAATTTCAGATGTACAGAGATAGGTATTGATCCTTGTTTTGAAGTGAACCCCACTTTTAATGATCGCGCATTACTTTTTGTTTTTTGTTGTATTCAAGATCTGACAAAGCTAGTTTGTACTCAAGCATGCTTATTCTTGTTCTCTGTTGTCTGATATTGTAATCTTTGGCTAGCCATCTTGTTATTGAAACATCACAGGAGATCAGCGATGTGCCCTATGCAGATTATTTTACAGTAGAGGTAGGCGGAAACTTGCATCTAATACTATCAGTAATTTTCTCGGGTGATGAGTGTTATAGGTGAATAAGTTACCTTTTGCTGATTCCAGGGAGTTTGGGATGTGAAAAGAGATTGCAGAGACTTGATAGAAGGTTCTATATTGGATGTTTATGTCAATGTGGCCTTCTCTAAAAGAACAGTGTGGAAAGGTATGTTTAGACTCATTTACTCCTGTTTTGACCTTGCTTGTGATCAAATAAGAAGTTGAAGTAATAGTTAAAAAGTGTTTGCTGCGGATTCTGGCTCATAGGTAGGGAAAACTTTCAGTTTTGTTGAAATCAAGTTTCTTATTTCATGGTTCTTGGATCTGGGCTGATTATTGGTCCATTTACGAGTTTTTGGCAGGAAAAATAGTGCAGTCAACTTTGGAAGAGTGCAAAGAAGCTTATGCAACATGGATAAGAATGGTACTTGTGTAGCCATTGGGTGAACATATTTTGTTTCAGTTTGTGCAGGCTTTTAAACTAGTTTTATTTGGTGATAATTCTTGGAGGCACATGAAGTGTTGAAGCAGAAGAAGGTGGAGAACCAAGCAGGTTTGTGTATGATTAAGAGAAGCATTTTGTTTGGTGTAGAAAGAGGTGGCTGACAAGGTATTGTGACACAGGGAAGAAGTT